TAAAAAAAGAACTTCTGTTTCTTAAAATGCAAGTATTAATAAACTAGCACATGAAGAGGCTCATAGAGTCAGAATACTGTGCACTGGGCCTGTGAAAATCCTCTACTCAAAAGTGAGAAGCAGCTGCAGCCATTTTGCTTTGCATGGCTACTTCATGGCACTCCTGAAATCCTCTGGCCCTACATATGTGCGTGTCCAGAAGCTACTTCTGCTGGGATAGCTGGCAGAGCAAAGTAGAAGAGTCTATCCTGGCGGAAGAGTCTTCTGTGCAGACAACACACACACATCTGGAAGATCTTGGGTTGCCTCAAAATAGCCATTCTCAGTCTTTGAGTGGCTGGGTCTATTTCAAAGAATAGATCCAGAGAGGTGATCTCCTCACTGAATGCCTGGCCCAGGCCTACTGTGCCAAAGGTTTCTCTCACAACAGTGGAAGAGTAAAGACAAACACTGTAATATAAGGCATTTACTTTTTTTAAAAGAGCACTTTAAGTCCATTATCCAATATATCATTAAACTGGAAAGGTGCAAGAGATTCTGATGACTAATATGCGACTTTGTTATCCAAAAAAGGTTTGCAGAGTGAGCTATCAGCTTCTGACTTGTTTAGTCTTCAAGTTCTCAACAGGTCAGCCTTGAATCAGTGATCATTATGGATAGCCACTGCTGCCATATAAAACAAAGTTAAGCACAAAATTTTATGGACAGAAATCCTCAAACCCACTTCAGTCAGTGCCTCAAACAATTAGTGCTGCTACTGTTGTTTCTACAACCCACACTGTTGCAAAGAGTACTGCAGTCTACTTGCTGCAGAGGAACAGTGCAATATCCAAGGCCATACCTGAGAACCTTAAGAGAGTACTTAACAGAGTACTTTATTGCTTCAAGCTTCCTTCTAATCAAAGAGATTAGGAATGAGCAGAAGGGATCCTCTTCCAAGGCAGCCTTTCTCAAACAGAACAGGTCTTAAAGAAACAGGATGCCTGCATTGCAGCCCATTTATCAAGCATCTTCTCCCACTTTACATAAAAAAGATAAATATATTAATTGATTAGTTCCCTCTCTCCAAATAATATTCTTGGAGGGAAGCCAATGAGAAAACATGACTCCAATCTACTTATTGCAGGTAGAATGTGAAATAAATTGCTATCGAGTGAAGAAAAGTGGAGGCAGTATGCAGCAAAATGTAAAAAATCATTTCTTAAGTTGGCAAGTTAGAAAAGCAAAGGCAGAGCAGGGCTGCTGTTTCTTTAAGTAATAGCCAGATACCTCCAAATGGCTGGAAAAACCAGTTTGTACACTTGGATTTGAAGAACAAAGGGCAAACTTCTCAGCAGTATTCCAGCTATTTCTGGAGAAATCTTTTTTAAAAAGTGTGTTCAGAAACCTTCCACTTCTTTCAAGAGTTCCTAGGTTCTTTGGCCCTGCTAAATTGTCTACACAGGTGCTGGCTAAAGGGAGCTAAGGTGCAATGTGGCAGCTTCTTAGTGTTATCTTGGGAAATAGTAAGGACCAGTTTCTTTTGTTAATTACAGAATGATGCAAAGCAGGAGTACTCCAAAAAGTAAATGTTTAAAATAAATACTCAGGCCAGGAATCAATCCAATGTCTTTAGTTGGCCTTACAAACAAGTGAAGTAAAACAAAAAATGTTTGTGAACCTGATTAATTTCCTCAATATCGGTATCTATTTTTGTTGCTGTTGTTCAGTTGTTAAGTCGTGTCTGATTCTTCGTGACCCCATGAACCATACAAAGCAACTAATAGTTACAGCTACTAATGATCATAAGGATTTTTGCAGTCCCAGCACAGAAATTCTTATGAAATAATCACTGGAATTAAAACCTACAGCATAACTAAATTAGATGTAAAGGGAGAGTTAAGAAGGCACCCTCACTTCTGCCAATAATTTTCAACAGCCATATTCCATATCAGTATCCCAACCAAATACTTAGTTGAACAATGCCCAAGCATCTGGGAGAATATTAAACATGATCCCATCTGGATGAGTCCTTCCCAAGGAATTGGCAACTGCCCTTACAATCATAAAGGAAAGACTAGCGTAACTGGACCTCGCTTATGCAATGAGGATCAGGCAAAATATCTTAGATTCAGGAAGCACCATAAAAATGGGGGGGAAATGTATGTACCCATTCTTGTATGATCTTTTAACTCATAGCTGCTTCTTATCCCCTATCCCCAAATTAAAGTAAAAATAAGCTTGTATTATCAGAAGAGAAAAACATTGTTATGCTCAGGGAAGCTCAGACCTTGACTTAAACAAGCTCAATTAAGCAGGCTTTGACAAAAACAATGTTATGCTTAAAGCAACAGGCAATGTTACCTCCCTATCCCTGATTCATTTGGCAAGATTATTAACTTGGTGTTTGCTAACAGAACAATCCATTCCCATGGAGATATTTCTTTGAGGTCACAAACATAGGATTATGACATCACAAAAGGAACATTGGTAGAGCAGATAAGTAGGAAGGATCAATGCAATGTTTGTTTATACTTTATTCTATAGGATGCAGTTCAGATGTACCCAGGATTAAAGCCTACCAGAGAAAGAAGAATCAGATACTGGCACAAAGGGAGACTAGTTCATTAAAATCTGCTCCAATAAGCAAACTTAGGATGTGGAAGCAAGCCAATTTTTCACATTCAAACCAAATCAAAATGGGGGAGGTTCATTATGCCCTTCCTCTTTTTTAAATTTCCAATTTTAAGGATTACATATGAAGAGCTAACCCAATAACAATAAAAGGCCTAGGCAAAATAGTTATTTCTTCATCACCAGCTTTTAAAGAAATGAATGCAGACTTTTTCAGGTCCTGAGCTCTTTGTTGTATAGCGTAAAGAAATGTTTGTCTTTCATGTTAGAAGTACTGTATGTCTCATGCTATCATGTCACAAGAGCAACTGATAAAATATAACCTCTTCCCCTCCTTCCCCCACTGCTGAAGATGAACCATGTCGGAATGAGTGTTGGTTCTAATGAGGTGCTGAGGCTCAACATGACCCAAGTCCTATCTTTATGAGGCATGCTGTTTTGAGGCTGGGAGTTTATGTAGATTTCCTACATAATATGCATGCACAAAAAAGAGCACTCACCCAAGTAGGTTTTTGTGGCATTTTGAATGGGCTTAAGATGCTTGTTTGCATGTTATTGGAACAGACACAGCCTTATTATTATAAGGCCTGGCATAAAAATAGAATATATGCCATGATCACTGAGTTAGCCTTTAAAGCAGCCTTTCCCAGTCTGGATCCCCTACTGAAGAGCAGACTTCACCTGCCAGAATTCCTATGGTTAGCCTGGAGAAGTCTGCTTTAAGATTTTAGAAAACACTACGTTCTTTTAACTTAGACACATTTAATATATCAATAAGAAAATTCCAAGATGGAAGAGGCTATCCCTCTTGAAAAAAAATTACAGCACTTTCCTATATGTGTGTTTTCAGAAGTTCCCATGTTCAGTGGGATTTATCGAGTTTAGAATGGTAGTTCAAATCAGAGCTCTGCAATCAGAAGCAAGAAAATCACAGATGTGGCATCAAAGAAAATTCAAATACAGGTACTGTAAATGGGTAGTGAGCAGACCTTGAAAACAGAATGTAGTGTTTTGTTTGTGACCTGTATAAGAGGCCAGATATACCATCTTTCACGCCCAAAGGCAGGTATGTGGGATCCTCAAGCAGACAAAAATCAATCTCCCTTTGACAGGAATGAACTTCCCAAACCAGTTCATCAAGTCAGGCAGAAAGAAGAGTGGGAGGGAGAGGAGAGGTGAGGCATAAGGGAGTGGGAGGGATATACAGTCTAAGGGAACTACAAAGGAAATATGAGTCACCAACCCAGGGAAGAAGAGTTCAGCACTCTGTTTATTCACTTCAATATGACCACCCCCACAAGCACATAACCTCTTCACAATATGGCCTCTGGAAGTCCATTTCCCTTACCACCACCCCCACTGACCAGGGAGATAAAATGTATGAAAGGCCAAGCAATCCAGAAAGTAGCCAATTAAAGGGCCAGAAATAAAATCCATTTTTAGTTTTTGAGGTCTGCACACTAGAAGTACATACTTTAAACTTCAGAATGTTCATGAAAGGCAAATCCCTACTGCTCCATCTGTATCTCACTAGCCGAAGTTAGGCTTTTTATCATGTTCTAACATATACACATGGTAAAATGATGGTTATTGTGCCAAATTAAGGTGGCATTGAAACTAATACTACAGATAAGGCTATCAGATACAGGGAGAATTCTACAATATCTGACAGACAGATTTTCTGCAAAAGTTATCCTTCTGCATCCTACAAATGACAAATATTTGATAACTAATTTTCCATTTCTTCAATTAAATATCCAGATCCAGCATACTATGTATTGGATTATTAGGCTGCATTGGTTGACTGTCTTATTCAATTAAATCAGTGTACCTCCTGGACAGATGTAGCCCCATCTTTCTCTTCATTCTAAACATTAACCATTATGCACTTGTTTCATGCTAAACCCAGAAAAATGCAAAACCTTGCTCAGCCATCAAACTCATCAGATAATGGTTTCTCCTGGAGATAAGGGTCTAGAGTGACTATTATTGGTTGTGTTGGTGCTATATTTTTTAACTGTTGACTATAATTTATTATTTATTGCTGTATTTTTGTCACTGTACTTATTAATCTGTTTTGTGGACTTTGAAGTTGTATTCCACTCAGAATCATTTTGAAGCAGCATGCACGCCTCTGAAAATAAAATACAATAAAGTACTTGAGGCCAACTACTCAACCACGATGGTTGTGAGTATAGAAGGAGGAGGAGAAGCAGATATACCTCCTTGAGTTCCTTGAAGGAAGGTGGGAAATAAGTATGCTTAAGTGAACAGCAAATAAAATCTATCAAGCTACTGCTTTTAAAATATTCAAAGTATACCTTGGGTCATGTCTGGAATCCAGCTTAAACCAAGTAAGTAGAATAACATGAGGAAATCTCACTCACCATACATTTTGCCCTCATCTGAGAGAATAATCTTCCGCCGACCACAGGGCGGATATATTGCCAGTGCCTCCTGGAAGCTCTGTTCAATGTCTGGACTCCACACTCCTTCGGCATCATTGTCCAGACTTTTGTCCATTCCCTCTTGTCCATCTTCTCGCCCCTCCCCGGGGCTGCCGCTGGTGTTCCAGCTGTTGGACGCTATTGTGATGGCTGCTCTGGGCTCTGACCCTGAGCCCCAAACGGCAACTCGTCAGCCTAGAACAAGCAAAAAGAGTTGATTAATGAACTGCCATTGACCACAGATGGAGTCCTAAACCTCTAGACTGAGGTTAAAAAACAAATGTTGAATCACATAAAGATCAATATGGGCGAGGATCCAACTTTAAACATTTGTCTCATAGTAAGTATTCTTAAATATACACGTAAAAAACTTTTACAGCTCGTGTCCTAGCTATTCTAAATCTTCTAGCCATAATTATAGCCATGTTTCAATGCTTTTACATACCCCTGCCCTGTTTAACACTTATCCAAGGAAACAAAAAGATATTTTCTCATATATATCAAATAGTTGCATTTAAATAGCTCTGGCTCAAAAAGTTATTTAAGCAATAGGACTTCAAACAAAATTAGCATCAGAAATTTAATCCCTCCCATACACACACTGCCACACTACCACATAACATAAAATGAACACAGAGAATATGAGCTTCAAGAAATGTTTATTTAAATTATTTTTTAATTTCTTTGGTTGTTGTAGTTTGGTTTATACTAAGAAACATAAATATTCAAAGGGTGATTTTAATAACCAGGGTTTGTCTAAGCCCATTCCATCATTATAAACCATACTGTGACTATTGGAGAAAGCCATTAAACACTGTCTTAACAATAATGTGGCTTGGAAAGTTTTCCATCAGCACAAAATGCTTCTGTTTAAGAAAAACACTGTGTCATAAAATTAATTGATAATATAATGAATTAAAACAAATCAAACAGTCTAATCAAGGATCCAATATTAGTCAAATTTAACATCAAAACTGGCATTAACTTTTCTTAAGAGCATAAGAATCTGTAAGAATCTGTAATGCACAGATTGTAATAATCTGTTATAATAGCATGTTAACAGTCTTTTAGTGTCTTCATTTTATTTTAATTTTAATCTGTGTAATTTTAATCTATATAATGAAAGTGTTTGCTCTTGAACTATACTGCTTAAGACATTTAAAATATTTGAAAAATATATAAGTAAAGCTTTTAGTTTGAACATAACATTAAAAAAGTTAAAAATTAATACAGCATATTAAAGAATACATCTCTCTTACAACTGAATTATAAGCACCTACTAAACACTGATGCCATAAAAAACTAATACTATACGGCTGGAAGGAGATTTCCTTACACTCTTTTTAAAGTAATCCCCTGAGCCCCCTAAGCATCTCTTTAAAATTATGAGGCCTTCCTGAATGGGGTTGAGTTGGGAAGAGGGAATTGGTCAAAATACATAGCTTTAGTCACCAAAGGTGTCCGAATTTAATTGTGGGCAATTTACCCCTTCAGACCATTCCAATGAATCTCAGAAAATGTTTTTCAGAGGATGAAGGAAGGAAGGAAGGGATGAAAAGCTCTTTTTGCAGTGAACACTTCTTAAGAACTAACAACAAAAAAGTTATACAGTAATATCTTGGTTCACGAACGCTTCTGTTCACGAACAATTCGGGTCACGAACAGCACCATTCGCAAAATTTTGCTTCCGTTTGCGAACTCCGCATCAGGTGACGAACACG